GTGCCTTTCGATTTAAAAACATAAATTTTGTTATCTTTCGTATTTTTCAACAGCTTCCTATTTTGTACCATTATTTTTTTAAACAAGTCTGAAGAACGATGTGGTGCACAAACACACCCATACACCTAGTGTTAAATAAATGCATGATTTTTTTCTTAAGCGACTGTTATTGTTTATTCCTGCACTGCTAACAAAGCTTGCATCCACTTGCATCACTAGTACATGCAGTGCAAGCAAACAATATCGTGCGAAACGTGAGTCAGTGAGCAAACTGCACCTTGGTTGGTCTCAACAACAAAAAATCCCTCTCGTCAGCCATTCAGTTTTAAATCATTTTTCCAACAGGGTATTCCTATAGAGCGGTGTAGGTGAATGAGAAAAACAAAAACGGAGCGGGGATCAGCACGGGAGCCTCCCACTTACCGCTTTTGCTCGTTGCCCTCCCACTTTTCTGCTCCGGACTATCTTTTGATTCGTTACAGGCACTCCGTGTGGCGCGACCACAATGTGGTCGCGCTTTGCTATTTTTTTCCAACCCCCAGGATGCACAGCTGCACAGAACGTGTGACAGAGTAAAGAGTCAGTAAAGAGACATAGATGGAGCGCTCTGTTATCGGTGTGGACATGCCCGGCTGGGAAATAGCGTGTAGTAGTCGGCCGGCTTGTGGCGTTAAGGTATTCCCCGCGCTGCCGCAGACGGGACGGACGGACCGGCGCGAGGAGGTCGCAGAGCTGCCAGCGCAGCGCCCCAGTGGAACAAGTGCCGAATGGCGCCTGCTTGAATCGCGCCTCTGGAAGATGATCCTTAGACGGTCGGTGCACAGCATGGTACGTACTGGTGGTGGGCTCCACCCGCATCCCCCGCCGCTCCGGGGAAATGTGCGACGGCGAGGAGCTCCTGACGAGGCCGTGCTCGTGTTGATGCCCCCCCCCCTCCCACATCCCCTATATTATCGGCAGCCCTAATGTGGTATAAGCAAAAGCTGGACTGCCTTCCGCCAGGCCAGCAGAATCTTTATCTCCCGGTAAGGAATATTTCTCATTTCCGGTCGTGTGCTGTTACCGGCAATAACCCGCGAGACGTCGCGAGCTTGGGGGTCGTCCAGAAAGTACGTCCGTGTTTTTTTCTTTTTTTTTTTCGGGTCCTTGAGGTAAAATAGGGGAGCACGGCGCATGCGAGACTAAAGCGGTAGACAACCCCGCAGTACACGAATGCAGTGTAGGCAAGATGTTGTGCCTACCTACCAGGCGCTTGCATGCACGAGCTGAACCTTCGAAAAAACGCGAAGGGTGTTCTTCCTGGAATTATCCCTGGACTCTCGCGATAGCGCAGCGCAGCCGCCCTGCGTTCCTTTCACTGGCTGTACTGAAGGAGTTGCGAGCGCCGCCGCGATGTCAGAAGGGAAATGCAGCGTTAGCAAACCGCCCCAGTGACGTTCTCCCCGACCAGCGCCCAGCGCCCCCAGCGCCCGCCTCCAACCACTGTGTGACGCGTCGGGTCGTGGTTGTGGTGGGGGATAGGCTACGCTACACTCGCCGGCTGGCTTCAGTTGTTACTCAGCATAGCAGCCCGGCAGACGGCGTCACGCCTCTTGTCAGAGCGACGGTTCCGAGACAAGAGTGAACTACAAGAGCGACAGACATCATCGACAGCCGCCCATGTCCCGGAAAGGTCAGTGCTCGTGGAGGAGTGAGCCACGAGGTAACTCTACGCCCTGGCCGCCACCGCCGGGGAGGCCGAGCCAGCACCGCGCCCCCGCAATGTATGACAATGTCAGTGATTAGCTATATCTTTGTCCGCCCGGGTAAAACTCGGAGGGTGGCCCACTTGCTCTCCCTATGACAATATAGGCGCCCCAGTCCCTATCATTGCAGATAGAAACGTGCCCCCCCCCCCCCGCCGCCCTTCCGCGCTCTCTCCCTAGCAGAAGAGAGCCACAGGGGCTCGGCTCGGTTGTTTATTTGAATTTTAGCGCTGTTCAGTGGAGAATAAAGGATATTGCAGAGAGGTCGGTAACGTTGCCTGCACGCAGCGGTCAAGTCCACACATCTTCCCCGAGCTCAGTCCCAGTCGCGTTTGCTACTTTTAAAATGGTTTATCAGCGACAGCAGGCGGGAACCCCTTGCCCCCTCTCTCCGTCGACACCGCGCCGACTCTGTGTTTATACTAAGAGCAAAATTGAAGCTAAAATGAGATGAATTTCGTAACTTCTGGAGGTTTTTCTTTTTAATGCCCCAGGAATCGCCATGCGCGACGTTCCCGGAGCGGCCGTCGGCATCGACCTGGG